TCTGCAGCTTCAGGAGAATTTGCCCTTCCTGTCAAGTCTCTGGTCTGCAGAAGAGTGGGATTCTCAGTGGCTTCTGGCTGGATGCCCTCCTTTTGGAATATAAATGCTAACTGACAGGGAAGTAATAGCATTGGCAAAGAGTTCCTATTGCCCAGAGCTGCTCTAAAACAGGTTAGCTGGTTTCATTGTCCCAGCTGGAGCTTCAGCCTAGACTTCCCTGAGAGCACTCACCTGGACTAAGGAAATGCCCACTAGCCTTCCAATAGGTATAGGTGGTGAACTAAAAAGAAATTTCAGTAAACACTCTACAAATCCAATGCAAGCAAAAGTCCTACCCTCAATTCCCCTAGAGACCACATTTAACTTGAGGAGTTGTGTCTAAGTGGAAATAATGCAGGTATCACCCTCTCAGTGATAGAGCAGTTGACTTTGTAATAAAACAGCAATCAGGGGCACCTGGGTGGCTCAGTTGGTTAAGCATCTGCCTTCAGCTCAGCTCAGGATCCTAGGATCCTAGGATGGAGCCCTGTGTGGGGCTCTCTGCTCAGCAAGGACCCTACTTCTCCCTCTCCCTCTGCCTGCCGCTCTACCTGCTTGTGCTCTGTGTCAAAAAAATAAAATCTTAAGAAAAAAAACAGCAATCAAAAGAGGACAGTGGACACCTAGACTTCAATTTTGCTCTAAGCAAAATTCTCTGCCCCCAAAGAATTTAAAACTGAGTCTGTTGGTGTTGCTTTTGCTTTTCTTTTTCTTTTTTCTTTTTTGCCTTTCATGAGAGTTTGCTGTATAGATATCTGAGATAAAAAAGACTGGGAGTGGGGCGCCTGGGTGGCTCAGTCGTTAAGCGTCTGCCTTTGGCTCAGGTCATGATCCCAGGGTCCTGGGATCGAGCCCCGCATCAGGCTCCCTGCTCAGCGGGAAGCCTGCTTCTCCCTCTCCCACTCCCCCTGCTTGTGTTCCTGCTCTATCTCTCTCTCTCTGTCAAATAAATAAATAAAATCTTAAAAAAAAAAAAAAAAAGACTGGGAGGGAGAGCTGCCTCAAAATCTAGTTGTTGGTTTTTTAAGCATTGTTACAATAGTAAGACAGAAGAAACATTCCTCAGAAAACCAATTAGCAGTCTCCCCCAGGGTTGCTGTCCCACACAGAGTTAGACCATGGTGCTGGCTCCTCATAAACAATGTAGTTTCCCAACTCATTGGTGCTAAGGATGCTGGAAATTAAACTAGTTACTTGGGAAGACAATATGGCATTTGGCATTCTTACTTCTGTAGCATAGGGCATACTTCTGTGCATGCCTATTTCAATGAGTGGTTAAGAGCTGAGAAAACATTCTAAACCCCTCACAAACACTTTTTACGGTACAAATTGTTACTACCTGTATTTTTAAAAACTTATGTTTTTTTCATTGCACTGCTTTGTAACCAACTCTCCAATTAAGATACAGAACATTTAAAAAAATAAAAAAGATACAGAATATTTTCATCACCCCTGAAAGTTCTCTTTTGTCCTTTCAACCAGTCCTACTCACCCCAGCCCATTCCCCAGCAACCACTGTTCTGATTTCTATCACTAGAGATTAGATATACATACCTATTTTTCTTTTTTAAAGATTTTTATTTATTTATTTGACAGAGAGAGACAAGTGAGAGAGGAAACACAAGCAGGGGGAGTGGGAGAGGGAGAAGCAGACTTCCCGCAGAGCAGGGAGCCCGATGTGGGGCTCGAACCCAAGACCCTGGGATCGTGACCTGAGGCGAAAGCAGACACTTGACGACTGAGCCACCCAGGTGCCCCTACATACCTATTCTGAACTTACATAAGCGGAAACATGTTATGCACTCTGTTTCTGATTCTTTTGCTCAACATAATGTCTATAAGACGGCAAAGCTCTCATTTCTGTTGCTGTATTTATCACTACTTCATTCCTTTTTTTGCTTTTTAAATCAATATTATTGGGAAGTATAATTTATATACATTAAAATGGCTTTTTAAATATACGGTTCCACTAGTTTGTTTAAAGATTTTACTTACTTGAGAGACCGAGAGAGCACAAGCGGGGCAGAAGGGGGAGAGGGAGAGGGAGAAGTAGACTCCCCACTCAGTGGGGAGCCCAACGACAGGCTGGAATCAACTGAGTCACCCAAGTGCCCCCAGTTTCACGAGTTTTAACAAATTTATATATCTACGTAACCAAAACCCCAATCAAGATATAGAACATTTTGGAATGCCTGACTGGCTCAGTCGATGGAGCATATGACTCCTGATATCAGGGTTTTGAGTTCCAGCCCCATGTTGGGTGTAGAGATTACTTAAAAATAAAATTTAGGGGCACCTGGGTGGCTCAGTTGGTTAAGCGTCTGACTTCGGTTCGGGTCATGATCCCGGGGTCCTGGGATCGAGCCCCACATTGGGCTCCCTGCTCGGTGGGGAGCCTGCTTCTCCCTCTCCCTCTGCCGCTCCCCCTGCTTGTGCTCTGTCAAATGAATAAATTTTATTTATTCATTTGACAGAGAGAGAGAAAGCACAAGTAGGCGGAGCGGCAGGCAGAGGGGGAGGGAGAAGCAGGCTCCCCACCGAGCAGGGAGCCCAATGCGGGGCTCGATCCTAGGACTCTGGGATCATGACCCGAGCTGAAGGCAGATGCTTAACCAACTGAGCCACCCAGGCGTCCCAGAATAAATAAAATCTTAAAAAAAAAAAAAGATATTTCTATCACCCAGGAAGTTCCCTTGTGTCCTGCTCAACCTTCCCTCATCCAGATGCACTGCCCCCAGATGATTGTTCTCACTAGAGATTTCCCTTTTCCTATTTTTGACTTGCATATACATGGATCCTACAGTATTGCATCTCTTATATCTGACATCTTTCCTTCAATACAATGTCTCTAAGATTCACCTACTTCATCATGAGTAGTTTATTCCTTTTTATTGCTGAGTAGTAATTCAATGAATAAACATACCATAATGTGTTTATCCATTCTCCTGTTGATGGACATTTGGGTTTCTAGTCGGGCTATTTTGACGAAGTTTGCTATAAACATTTGTGTACAAGTCTTTCTGTGGATGTATGTTTCACTTCTCTTGGATAGTAACTAGGAGTAGATTTGCTGGGTCACAGAGTAGGTGTAGGTTTAACTTCGTGAGAAACTGCCAAACATACAAAACCACTGTGCCATTTTACATTCTCTGCATAAGCTTATGGGAGTTCCAGTTGCTCCTGACAAAGGTTCCTTACTTGACCAAACTTTAGTCAGGTTCTTGAACCTTCTACTAAGCCTATCTGTGCAGTTCCTAAAATCCAATTTTAGCAAGAACCACCCCCCCACACACTTGGTATCTGGTCACCCTCAATATCTGACAGGTTCTTCATCTTTGCACCATCCCCCAGGTGATGTCTGATGTCTTACCCTTCATTAGCAAGAATCCTGTTAGGTTAGCTTAACCAGAACTCCCCTACACCTTTATGTTTCCTCTTAGTAATTTTCCATCCACTGACCACTCCTCACCACCACCACCCTGCGCCTGGGCTATAAATTCCCTCTCATTCATGCCATGTCTCACCCTCCCTGAAAAATCCCATTGTAGTGGCCCCCTATACCTATCCCGTGTGCCTTACCATCTCTACCATGTCGTTGAATAATTTTTTAACATTCCACATTCTTACCAACATATGGTAGGTTAATTTTTAATTTTAGTCATTCTAGCAGTGTGCAGTGGTATCACATTGTGGCTTTGATTTGCATTTCCTTAATAACCAGTGATTTCCAGCTCTTTTTCATGTGCTTACTAACCACGTTATCCTCTTTTGCAAAGTGTTCAAGTCATTCATACATTTTGACATAAATGTTGCAATTAAAAATGTCCTAAAGTAATACATTTTGAACTAAAATCTCTATTAAATCTATTCATCCACACATTAAAAAATATTTATCGAGGGGCTACTATGTGTCATGAATTTTTCTAGGTTCACAAATTCGCTGTGACTAAGAGATAAAATTTTTGCTCTTGCTTGAAGAGTTCATATTCTGGGGTGGGATACGAGAGATAGAAAGCAAACCGAAAGCAAACAAGGTGATTTTTGATGGTATGGAGATGCTCACTGAATATTAATGATAAAACGTTGGAAACAGGCGCCTGGGTGGCTCAGATGGTTAAGTGTCTGCCTTCGGCTCAGGTCATGATCCCAGGGTCGTGGGCTCCAGCCCCACATCGGGCTCCTGGCTCAGCGCAGAGCCTGCTTCTCCTTCTCCCTCTGCCACTCTCCCTGCTCAGACTCTCTCCTCTCTATCTCTGTGTTTCAGATGAATAAATAAAATCTTAAAAAAAAAACACAAAACGTTGGAAACAACCTATATCCTCAAGGTGACAGAGGTAGGGGAGTTAGGTAATTTATGTGATATGGCTTTGATGTATTATAATGCCATGAAATCGATAATTATAACATGAAAAAATACTTAGCCATATAATAAAAAAGGTCAAATTTAAAATCGTATGTGTACGTTGTTTAGGTCTATGTAAAACACCCGTGCTTTGATGCATATGGATGAAGACTGGAAGGACCCAGAAGAAAAATATAACGCTGCTGTGTGTATTATTCGGAGTGGTGGAATTATGGGGGTCTAACGGCTCTTGGTTTCGTTTTGATTTTTGTTGTCTTACATGTCACCGCGTTCTTAACAGCAGAAACCGGCCATCTACAGCATTCTCACGGGACTTACCTTAAGTCTTTAGAATTCACAGAGACACGTGACAAGCTTAAAATAAAACATGGGTTACTTCAGTGTGAAGTAAGGCAATAAAGTGAGGACTAAGAGTTTGACTTAGCAGAGCTTGGGGACTTCAAGGCGCGAAGAGAGAGCTCCCGGGGAAGTCTGAGGTAGACTCGCGTCGGCGGCGTACGACCAGAAAAGGCGACACCGCAGCGCATGCCCGGCGCGTCGCGGCGCGGAATAGTGACGCCTTGAGCAGGGCGGGAACTTACGTCACTTTCGGCACTGCCGCTTCCGGTCCGTGTGGGGGAGGTTCTCGCGCAGGCCGGGGACTCAGGGCAGGTGTTGGCGCGCGTGCGGTGAATTTTTTCGCGAGTCGGCCTCCCTTCCCGCCGGATCATGGCCACCGACTCGTGGGCCCTGGCAGTGGACGAGCAGGAAGCGGCTGTCAAGTCGGTCAGTGGCTTCAGCTCCCCCGGGGCGAACGTAGCAGGGGCCCGAGCGGACCCCAATAGGAGCCCAGGGAGCTGCCCGGGTTGGGCAGGCTTGTGGCCCACATCTCCGTAGAGTTTGCCGCCGGGAATCACGTAGCCCTGATTTGTGCCGGGGGCGAAAGAGACTAACGTCGGCCTTGTTCTGTTCATCTGGGCTAAAGACTTTTTTTTTGCCCTGTAGCAAAATTTGTTCCCACTTTGTATGTTTTTTTCTGTTGCACCCCCTTCTTGAGGGGGGAGGGTTGTGGGGAAATTTAGATGGTGATTCTCTTGTCTGTTTTCTGAGTGATTTGTGCTAAACATTTTTAGGTTTGCGCTTAACATGGTTGGCAGTTTGTAGATCTTTGAAGAATAAGAGATTCAGGTTTAGATTTGGTGTTTCAATCTACTGCCAATGGCGGGAGGCCCTACAAATTGTTCGGTTATGTTTGAAGTGATGTTTAATTTCATATACTGGTTCTGTGATTAATGAAGATCCATCCGACTGGAAGGTAATTAGAGTGTAAACTGGTTTTCTGTTCTTATATCTTAGTTTAGGTTTGTTTAGTGATAATGCACTATTGATTTTAATAGTTTGTGTTTGGTAGTCTGAAGTCTTACAACTTTTTAATGGCTAAGTTACATTTCTTTTCCAGTCATCCTTGATTACTTTGGGAGGATTGTCAGTTTGTCACCAAATGTTATGGGCTAAATCCAGTGGAGTATAGGAAGAATCTTTATAGTCTAGATGGGAAGGTGAGAACGTGGGAAGTGCTGTGAAAATGGCAAGAATAATGTGGTAAGTGATCTCTGAGTCGGGAGAGGACGTTTATGAGTAGGGAATAGGGAAATTCCCTGTGAAGAAGTTTACATTTCAAATGGATGTTAGAGAATGAATCATTTAAGATAGAGGTGAATGGCATTTTAGGAGAAAATGCACAAAGGGGCTGGACTTGTCTAGAGAGCAAGAATCAACTCATTTTTGCTGTAGCCTAAGTTTATAGGTTGTAATAGTAGCTGTACAGAAAATACCGTATAGGGTGTACTTTGCAACGTTAACAGAAAAATTAGGAGAGACTTAATTTGGTCGATCTGGGGATTTTTCGGGAGGATACGGAACAAGATTAGATCTGAGAGCTGGCAAGATTTATCAAACTACAGAGAATATTAGAAGGAGTGATGTCCGAAGGAAAGGCAATTAGTGTGGCTGTTCCTCTAGCCCAGAGAGGGCGTCTCTAGCCCAGAGAGGGCGTATGTTGTTGGGTGGTGGAAGTGACAATGAAGAGACGGATTTAGGAGAATTATGGCAGTATAAAGAGCAGGATTTAAGAAAAAGGCAAAGGTTGCTGTTTGCAGTCGGGAGCCCACAGGTGGTATTAGTAAAATGCTAATAACGGGACTAGGGAAGTGGGAGGAAGGGCAGATTTGATATGGAGGATTGGCTCTTCTGATTTTGAGGTAAGGAGGACATCTTGGTAAGTACCTGTGTTGAGAATCCCCAAGAATAGTCCAAGTTCAGTGATTTCCTGGGAAAACTCACAGGACCTAGCATAAAATTGTACTCGCAGCTATGATTTATTACAATGGAAAGATACAAAGCAACATTTGCAAAAGGAAAAGGCACATCTGGCAGAGTCCAGAGGAAAACAGCTTTCAAGAGTCCTCTCCTAGTGGATTTACATACTCAGCTTGATTAAGTCCTGCAGCAGCTAATTGTAACAGCACATATGAAGTGTTGTCAGGGAAGCTTATTAGAGACTCAGTTCTCAGGGTTCTTTTTGGGGGAACCGGCACAAAGTCACCCTCTGCCTAGCGGGTACCAAAATTCCAGGTTTGCAGAAGGAAAGCAGGTGTTTAACATAAGTCACATGTTTTTCAAACAGTTTAGGCATAGCAGACCCCCTCAGCAGTTCTAGGAATGGTGGGAACCCTTCTGAAGTCCAAGTCCCCAGATGCAGGACAGCGGCCAACCTTGCAAGCTGGCTTTTCTAAGGATAGGAAACTGTTAGCTGTGTTAACTGTTTTCTGCACAGCACCTATCTTGCATTTGGAAATGTGGCATTGGAGTTCAGGAGAAGAATCAGGGCAGGTAATAAAACTGGCTGTTACCCACAAAGAAATCAAAGAGTATTACAAAGGATAAGTTTCTGGCACAGTAGGATTTAAGATCCACTGTTTCGCACCTAAAAGTTACTGAGACTTGGTTTCAAATCTTTTTAAGCCTATGACTACTCTAGCTATGATATTATGGATATTGTAAATATCCATACTTGGCATCTGGTTTTAATCACTCTGCTTCTCAGGAGGCTGGTATAAATAAATGTGTTAAGGCACTGCTTCCTAGGAGCATCCAGGTGGCTCAGTCGGTTGAGCGTGTGACTCTTAGTTTTGGCTCAGGTCATAATCTTGGGGTCGTGGGATCTAGCCCCGAGTCAGGCTCCCTGCTCAGAGCAGAGTCAGCTTAGGATTCCCTCTCTCTCCCTCCCCCCTGCTCGCGCAAGCTCTCTCTCTCTCTCAAAAAATTTTTACAAACAAAACATTGCTTCCTAATAGTTGGGGGAGACCACCCCCCCTTTTTTTTTTATTTTACCATGTAGACTTGTGTAACTTAGCTTAAAAATAATTTATGATGTTAGGTTATCATGTGACTGTGCTCTCAAGTGTACAGGTAGTGAATGAAAATGACAGAAGATGACAGAGTACACACAATGATAAAGATCTTATGGGACACCTGGGTGACTCAGTTGGTTAAGTGTCTGCCTTCGGCTCGGGTCATAATCCCAGCATCCTGGGATGGAGTCCTGCCTCAGGGAGCCTGCTTCTCCCTCTGCTTGCCACTCCCCCTGCTTGTGTGCACTCTCTGTCTCTCTCTCTGACAAATAAATAAAATCTTAAAAAAGATCTTAACTTACACACAGTGAGGATTTTTGTTTGGTTTAAGCTTATGTGGTCAAGGATGTACCTTGATTCTTCCCTGCATATAAAAATGGGTTTGGAGGGGAAGGAGCGGTATGTCCAGCAGTTTAGTTTCGATACATTTTTAGGAACGCTGATAAAAGATTCTGAGAGTTTGAATTACTAGAAAGGACCTGATGCCAGTTCACTTGTCACTTTCATCTCTCCCAGCACAAATGGCTTCCTTAGCTACCTCTTTCTGGCCATATCACCAGTTTAATTCCTTCCCTTTCCCTGATCAGCCAAAAACAAAAACCTAAAGGCAACCCTAAGAATCTTTTAGAGACATAATCTGACCCTTTTGCAATTAGACTTGTCACAGAGGTAGATCTTAAAGCCTTGTTGAAGTGAGTGCCTAAGAGTTCACCCCTTCATGGATCAGGGACTCTGGGACTAACGGAAATTTAGCCACCCTTCAGAGCTACTCTGTTAATTTGGATAGAGGAAGGATGCTTTTATCATAACTGAAAACCTGTGTGTCCAGTGTCAAGGACACTGCCTTCTGTGAGAGGCATGATTAATAATCAGAAGGTTCCTCACTGAAGATGAATACAGAGTGAAGGAGAATGAGAATTGATTGGCCTGCCTCTTTCCCATGGTGGAGTTAAGTCTCTCAAGACAGGAGTACTCATCTGCCAGTAATTTTCCCCTTGAATGCAGCCAAATAAATGCTGAAAAGTTCTTAGATCTTTCTAGCTTCTAAACACGTCATCTTTTGTTAGCACATGTATTTGTCAAATTATAATACAATAGATTTGGTTATGGTTTCATAACCATATTTTCATCAGGCAGGCTTTGAGATTAATCAACTTGGTTGGTTCGGGGACTCCAGACTGTCTCATTGGCATTTTCAGCCCACCCCAAGATTAGTTGGCTTCTGTGGATCCCTGTGTATTAGCCTAAAAATGAGGGTTAATCAGTGGATAAGTTCTGGTATAAAATACCTTCTCTGTTATGTGCCAACCTTCCCACTGGCCTTGGGAAAGGGTGTCCATCTCCAGTAGTGTGTTGATTTGATTTTTCTCTGGAAGACCTGGTTTTCAAAAGAGATGAGATGATATCCCCCACTGTGTGAGGGTGGACTTCTCCCAAAGACCAAGAGCAGGGTCAGTTGAGGGGAGGAGGGAGGAGGAAATATTTCTAAACACCCTCAGGAAACAATGGTGGTTATCATAAGGATAATGAATGATTGCATCAGTTGAAGGATCATTGTGGGGGCAGGGGTTGGGGTCTAGCGCTTGATTTGGGGTGCTTCTCAGAACCTGACAACATAGCTTTATAATACCCTTTCTGTATCACACCCTTACTCTTTTTAAGATTTTTTTTTTATTTTAAAGATTTTTATTTTATTTATTTGACAGAGACATAGCGAGAGAGGGAACACAAGCAGGGGGAGTGTGAGAGGGAGAAGCAGGCTCCCCGATGAGCAGGGATTCCCAGGACCCCGGGATTGTGACCTGAGCCAAAGGTGGGCGCTTAAGGACTGAGCCACCGAGGCTCTCCCTCACACCCTTACTCTTAACAATACCTTGAATATGGAAAAATAGTTCTCATGAGATTGGAGACTTCATTACAAATGTATAAATTATCGCTCTGCTTGCACTTTGATTTGCAACCTAGTAAGCAAGTTTGCATTGACCAGCACTAGTGGCCAAAGTAAATAAATAAAAACCTTTCGTTCACGTTTCCAAAATATTCTAAATCAGGAGTATGAATTTGTCGATTTTTTCATCATAATAACTTTTTTAACTAACTCATAGTGGAGGTGGTTGATAAGGCAGGAAAGAAGGCTATAATTTAGGGCGCCTGGGTGGCTCGGTTGGGCGACTGCCTTCGGCTCAGGTCATGATCCTGGAGTCCCGGGATCGAGTCCCGCATCGGGCTCCCTGCTTGGCAGGGAGTCTGCTTCTCCCTCTGACCCTCTTCCCTCTCGTGCTCTCTCTCTCTCATTCTCGCTCTCTCTCAAATAAATAAATAAAATCTTTTAAAAAAAAGGCTATAATTTATTTGCTAAGTGTTACATTAATACAGTGGGGGTTTCAGGACTAAAAAGAAGGGAACTGTGAGTGTGTGTGCTATTGAAAGGCTATCATAGGTATTTAACGAAAGTAGATGTTCTAGAAAGAGCGTAAGGTGGAAGAAAAGTCAAACTTTTTCCATCTGCTCTGTTTAGTCCACCCCTGCCCACCCCATTTAAGGTTCTTGAAGATAGGAAATGATGTCTTCACCCAAGCTTGTAGGAATTCTGCTTGAGCAGGACAGCTCCCTGAATATAGGTGCTGCTAGACTTTCACTAGGGAACTTCTCTTTGCTCAAGGGACTTCCTTTAATTGGGTCACATGCTTAACTCTGTTTCCTTTTATTCCTATTCAGATGAGTAATTTGCAAATCAAGGAAGAGAAAGTCAAACCAGATACCAATGGTGAGTCACTTGTAACTACTAGCTGGATACAAGCTATGTACATGCTCTTCTGCTTTGCCTTAGCTGCAGTGTGAAAAGGCGCTTTCATTTAGCATAATGTTTGTCTCAAATACAGCACTGTATTTGAGAGCCAGTAGATTCGGTTGCATTACCGAAAAGGACACATTAGTTTTCCAGATTTTATCTAGTCTCTGACTCCTGCCACTGTTCATTTGATAGTATTTCTTTAAATTTTTTTTTTGAAAAGTTAATCTGGGTTCAAAACTCAAAGTATAAACAGGTGAAAGGCTTCCTTTTTGTCCCAGATTGTCATTTAGCCATTCTTACTCTCTATTAGTTTGCTAGGGCTGCCATGCCAGGTCACAAACTGAGTGGTTTAAACAGTCAGAGTTTATTGTCTTGTAGTTCTTGAGGCCAGAAGTCTGAAATCAAGGTGTCAGTAGGGTTGGTTCCTTCTGAAGGTTTCAGAACTTACGTTCAAGTCTTTAATCCATTTTGAGTTAATTTTTGTGTGTGGTTAAGTTAGTGGTTCAGTTCTGTTCTTTTACTATAGCTGTCCATTTTTCCCAGCACCATTTACTGAAGAGACTGCTCTTTCTCTATTGTGTATTCTTGGCTCCTTTGTCATAAATTAGTTGACCATATATGCATGGGTTTATTTCTGCGTTCTCAGCTCTGTTCCATTGGTCAATGTGTCTGTTGTTATGCAAGTACCATACTGTTTTAATTATGTAGCTTTGTAATATGGTTTGAAATCAGGGAGCATGATGCCTCCAGCTTTGTTTTACTTTCTCAAGATTGCTTTGAAGGGGGGGGATTGCTTTGGTTTTTCAGGATTTTTGTGGTTCCATACAAATTTTTAAGTTCTATTTCTGTGAGGAATGCCATTGGAATTTTGATAGGGCTTGCATTGATTGTGTATTGCTTTTGACATATAGACATTTTAACGGTATTCTTCCAATCCAGGAGTAAGGAAAATCTTCCTGTTTATTTGTGTCTTCAATTTCTTTCATTATTGTCTTACAGTGTTTAGCATAAAGGTCTTTCACCTCCTTGGTTAAATCGATTCCTAGGGGGCGCCTGGGTGGCTCACTTGGTTGAGCGACCGCCTTTGGCTCAGGTCGGGATCGAGTCCCACATCAGGCTCCCGGTTCCACGGGGAGCCTGCTTCTCCCTCTGACCCTCTCCCCTCTCATGCTGTTTCTCTCTCTCAAATAAATAAATAAATAAAATCTCAAAAAAAAAATTGATTCCTAGGTATTTAATTATTTTTAACCCAATTGTAAATGGGATTGTTTTCTTAATTTCTCTTTCCAGTAGTTCATTATTAGTGTATAGAAACACACCAGATTTTTGTGTTTTGATTTTTGTATCCTGAACTTTACTAAATTCATTGATTGGTTCTAACATTATTTTGATGGCATCTTTAGGCTTTTTATATATAATACCATGTCATCTGGAAGTATTGACAGTTTTACTTCTTCCTTTCCAGTTTGGATGCCTTTTGTATCCATTTACATTTAATATAAATGGTGGGTTAAAGTTGATATGGTGGGTTTAGTTAAGCAATTTTACTATTTGATTTGTTTCTCATAGTTTCTCTACCTCTTTTCCCGCCTTTTGGGTTAATTGAATATCTTAGAATTCCACTTTATCTGTTGGCATTTTAGCTATACTTTTTGCATTATTTTATGAACGTTTTAAAGATTTCTCCATATAGGGGTGCCTGGGTGGCTCAGTTGGTTAAGTGACTGCCTTCGGCTCAGGTCATGATCCCAGGGTCCTGGGATCGAGGCCTGCATCGGGCTCCCTGCTCCTCAGCCTGCTTCTCTCTCTCCCTCTGCCTCCTGCTCCCTCTGCTTGTGCTTTCTCTGTCAAATAAATAAATAAAATCTTTAAAGATTTTATTTATTTATTTGACAGAGACAGAGATAGTGAAAGCAGGAACACAAGCAGCGGCGTGGGAGAGGGAGAAGTGAGCTTCCGCCCGAGGAGGGAGCCCGATGTGGGACTCAATCCCAGGAGCCTGGGATCATGACCCAAGCCGAAGGCAGACGCTTAACGACTGAGCCACCCAGGCGCCCATAAATAAAATCTTAAAAAAAAAAAAGACTTCTCCATATAAGTCTTGCATATTTTTTGTTAACTTCATTAATCTGGGTGCAGGATTTCATCTTTTTAGTTGCTATTATAAATAGTATCTTTTCAGTTATATTTCTGTACTTATGAAAGCTACTGATATCTATTTTGTACCTAGCATTTTTATCTTTTGCTGAGATATGTTATTTTGTAGTCATTTTTCAGTTAATACTTAGTCCTGTAGGCTTATAATCCTGTAATCCACAAAAAGTAATCATTTTATCTCTTTTAATTTTTAATATTTTTATTTTCTTCTCATGTCTGATTGCTAAAATAATAGTATATTTTAAAATAGGATAAGCAAGTCAGAGGTGACATATTCTGAGCCCTGTGAACATATCTAGAAAGTTGAAATTTTCTTATGTGCTTTCTAGGAATAAAAACCCATTAAATATAAAGAAATGCCAAATATTTATGTTTTCATCACTTACATAAGATTTAGTATTTCTGTTGTCACACCTTTTGGGTGGGTTTGAAATTTGCCTTTCTTATGATGACACCTGTTTTCTTGTGTAGGTGTTATTAAAACCAGTGCCACTGCAGAGAAAACAGAAGAAGAAGAGAAAGGTAATTACTTTTTAAAACTCTGTAGCAAGAAACAGCGTATGACCCAGGATTTGCCTTTCTGGAGCCCAAGGCACTAGATCGAAGAGATGAGGAGGAATCACAAAGGAGATTGAGAAATAGATAGAAGGAGAACCAAAAGAGAGGGGTATCCAGAAACCAGAAGAAGGAAGTGTTTCAAAAGTAGTAGTCAAATATAGGTAATAAATTGATTAAGAAAGTATAAACATGGGGTGCCTGGGTGGCTCAGTTGGTTAAGCGACTGCCTTCGGCTCAGGTCATGATCCTGGAGTCCCGGGATCGAGACCCACATCGGGCTCCCTGCTCGGCGGGGAGTCTGCTTCTCCCTCTGACCCTCTTCCCTCTCATGCTCTCTATCTCATTCTCTCTCTCAAATAAATAAATAAAATCTTTTTTTTTTTTTTAAAGATTTTATTTATTTATTTGAGACAGAATGAGAGAGAGAGAGCACATGAGAGGGGGGAGGGTCAGAGGGAGAAGCAGACTCCCCGCCGAGCGGGGAGCCCGATGCGGGACTCGATCCAGGGACTCCAGGATCATGACCTGAGCCGAAGGCAGTCGCTTAACCAACTGAGCCACCCAGGCGCCCTAAATAAATAAAATCTTAAAAAAAAAAAAGTATAAACATGGACTGTTCACTTGATTTAGCAGTGTAGAAGCCATTGGTGTGCTCAACAAGGGCCTTTGAGGTCAAGTGCAGAGGCTAAATACAAGAACCTATTCAGTGTATATTCAGCAGAAGGGGAGGACAGGAAGTGGGGACAGTGAGTGTAGACAGCCTTTTCAGGGAATGTCCTATAAAGGGGAATAGAGAAATGGGGCAGCAACTGGATGGGGGATAAAGGAGGAAGCAGGTTTATAATGAGAGGTTAAAATGCATGCACATGCAACGGGGGAGTGTTCCAGTGTAGGGGGAAACTGATAATGCAAGGAGTTAGTGTGGAGAGAAATATCCTTATAGGCAAGAGGGTCTGGGACCTGTTGTACCAATGCAGGGGTTAGCCTTGAGCACAGGCTGTTCATCCCAGGTTACCGGAGGGAACGTAGAGAATCTGCGCCCAAATGCAGGTGGGTGTGTAGGTGTGTTACCGCAGTGTGTGGAGGTGCTTCTGATCACTTGTACTTCTCTGTGAAGGAAGACACAGGTTCATCAGATGAGTGAGAAGGTGGAGGTGGAGATCTGAGAAGAGTGAATGAGTGGAGAATAGAAACATGAAGACTTACAGGGCAGGGCAGCCCATTTGAGTCTAGTGGTCAAGAATCTAAAGTGAGACCTGTCGGTGTGATTGTTTTTCTCCAGCCATGCTCGGCTGCCCTGGTGCTGGTACAGAGCCAGGGAGAAAGAGATTTCACGAGGGTGGGTTTGTCAAATGAGTATGAAGACAACCTGCTGGTTTCTTCCTGACAGAGGACAGAGCTGCCCAGTCCTTACTCAACAAGCTGATCAGAAGCAACCTTGTGGATAACACAAACCAGGTGGAAGTCCTGCAGCGGGACCCAAACTCCCCGCTCTACTCAGTGAAGTCCTTTGAGGAGCTTCGGCTGTGAGTGTCTGTTCCCTGAACAGCTGTTCCTTGTTGGTCCCGCCTTTCTAAAACTTAGCATCTCAGAGCTCTTTTGGGAATTTTACTTTCTATCTGTTTTTTAAAGAATCTTAATGTATTTGCTTCTTTGACTAGTTAATAATTCACATGATTCAAAAGTGAGAAAGTATGGAAAAGTTTACGGTGATGGTTTCCCTCCCACCCTTGTCTCTTGGCTACCCAGTTCTCCTCCTCTTGGGAGGGATTTTTAAATGCCACAAATTTATTCATCATAGCTGAAAGTCTTTTTTCTTTTATGCTCTTAGAACTTTCAATAAAATATTGGCTGACAGGTGATTTCTGGATGTCAGGAACATTTCTTATTAGGTAAGCCCTTTTGTTAGACTACAGGGTTTACGGTCTTGAGAACACTTTATCTGCTTTTACATAATCGATCAAAAGAGTCTATGCAGGATTCCCAGTACCTACAGCGGAAAGCAGCCTTCAATATTCAGGAATTAAAAAAAAAAAAAAAATTTAGAACCTGGAATTAAGCCACAAGGGAGCACGTTTACGGCACTGTGCTAAGAATGACTTCTAACATCTCTTTATTTTAAAGGCAGAATTACGGAAGGTCATACCAAGTTTTTTGTTTCCCTCAGCATATTTAGTAAAGAAGTTTTATGAATCCCTGGTTTATGTACATGCTACTCTGCTGGGTGTCATGAGTAACATAAGACATAACTACCATTCTTGCTGCCTGCCAGGACCGGAATCATAGAAAATAGCTGGTGAATAAAAAAGTGGTGGAATTAATAGATTCTTTGCCTTATCAGTAAAATCTTTAGTATGCCCACTGTGGGCAAATAGGCGCTACATTCTTGCCAACTTACTACCACTGCTTTAGAGTAAGAGACATTTAAAATATGAGAGCTAACTAAAACCAAATCAAGTCATTAATGAAGTGATAGCTAAGAACAAATTTTTTAAAGCACAGCTTTTTTTTTATTGTTCACAGGAAATTATATTTTTCTATGTGTATTTCCTCTATCAGGGGCTTCATTCAGTGAATCTGTCATCTCTGCTTCTGTTTATAAACTATATCAGGGCAGTGAGATGTGCTCTTTTGTTTCCTGAAGTGACAGTTTGCTTTTCCAAGTATTGATGGGTTTTAATCCCCTTTTCATTTAAAGGACTTGAGTTCTCAGTCCAGCCAGTGAGGAACTGTCCTCTCTGAAAAGTCAAGTTCTCTCTGATTTAGTAGTCGTTGGCTAGAGGAAACAAAGAATGAAATCTAAGTTGCCTTGGTTTGTTTTGTACTTAAAATTTTTGAATTAACCTGCAAAATGAGAAAAATGATGAACCACTGGAAGCTCTTGGGTCATTTGGATCTTCATTCAGTTGTGACTTTGTTTCCTTAGCAACCAAATCAAAATCTGCTGAGCTTCATAGCCTTTTCTTCCAAACAGAAGACACCAAAGGTTATGTTTTCAGAGGTCTTTGTTTCTGAGAACCAACATATGCCAGAAGAATTTGCCACTTAGAGAGCCTGTTTACTCCAAGGAAGGCTCAGAGAACAGAAGTCTTGACTTGGTTTGACTTTTCTTTACAATCTGGTGGGATTTTTGTTGAACACCCTGTCAGTGTGGAGGTAGCAGGGAACTTATTGTAAATGCGATGGAAGAACAACTTTAGTTGATATTTGTTGTGCAGCTACTTACATAAGCTGGTGCTTTCCTGTTCTTGATTTTTGACTAGACATGATAACTAAATATGAGCATTTGGAAAGTTCAGTATGGTATTTGAACACTCCTACCTCTTTACTGTAAATCAGGTACTAGAAACTGGTTGAATCAATTTTCTCATTTCTTGATTGTCCTGAGTATTTGCACAGCTGGCTTTGGAAGGACCATGGAATAAAAAATGACTGTGGTTCAATTTAACATCTACCTCAAGAAATTAAAACTGAATCTCATTCCTTAAAGGGACTTCTATATCCCAGTGGTATAGTAAGCAGTATATTTTTAGATATGCCTTTTATAATTCATTTTATGCAGATTATAAAGTTTATATGAAGTAATACATACCATTCTTGTGATATCCAGGGAACATTTGTCCTTCAAAGCCAGTCATATTTGTGGGTCTGCCGAAAGCATGAATTTCTCCAAGAACGGAAACTAGTCTGTATTTTCGGAATTGCACAACAGTTGCAGATTAAGGGGCACCTGGGTGGCTCAGTCAGTTAAGCGTTTGCCATCGGCTCAGGTGATGATACCAGGGTTCTGGGATCGAGCCCCGCATCAGGCTCTCTGCTCAGCAGGGAGTCTGCTTCTCCCTCTCCTGCTGCTGCTCCCCCTGCTTATGCTGTCAAATATAAATAAAATCTTAAAAAAAAAAAGTTGCAGATGAAGATTTAGTAGGGAGAGATGGTGGCTTGGTTTCATTTTAGATATTTTTTAAGGCATTTGAAAAATATGTCTGACAAAGATAGGAAGCTTTATACTTTGCTAGATTTAGGAAAGATAAAATTCTAGGCTTTTAAAACAACTTGAACAACTAGGAATCCATCCTCTCTCTTCCTGGACTTCTAGGAAACCACAGCTTCTCCAGGGAGTCTATGCCATGGGCTTCAATCGACCATCCAAGATACAAGAGAACGCATTACCCATGATGCTTGCTGAGCCGTGAGTATGCAGACCTCAAGTGTACTTCTTCAGGATTTGGTTTAATGTCTTACACCAATAACTGTTACTGTTCTTGAGAACAAGATGGGATGTTTGGGACAGCATGTTTCTTCAGGGAAACCACTTGAGCAAGTGCAGAGAGAGTCAGTTAGAATTTGGTACAGCTTCTCCCTTTCCCACTTAACCGTAAAAACTGATGGGGCACCTGGGTGGCTCAGTCAGTTGAGCCTCCAACTCCTGGTTTCAGCTCAGATTATGATCTCAGGTCATGATCTCAGGGTTGTGAGATCGAGCTCCACATAGGGCTCCACACTTAGCACGGAGTCTGCTTGAGATTCTCTCCCTTTCCCTGTCCCTCCCCCTCTGCTCCACTCCCCACTCACACGCACATGCTCTCTCTCTCTCTCAGATAGATAAATCTTTTTAAAAATTTAAAAAAATTTTAGAAACCTAATGTAGAAGAGGGCACCTGGCTAGCTCAGTTGGTAGAGCATGTGACTATTGATGTTGGGGTTGTGGGTTCAAGCTCCATATTGGGTGTAGAAATTGCTTTAAAAAATAAATAAAAATCTTTAAAACAGGGGTGCTTGGGTGGCTTAGTCAGTTAAGCGTTTGCCTTCGGCTCAGGTCATGATCTCAGGGTCCTGGGATGGAGCCCTGCATCGGGCTCCCCCTGCTCATGTGTATGCACTCTCTCTCCCTCTCTCTCTCAAATAAATAAATAAAATCTTTTTAAAAAAAATTTAAAACAAAACTGATAGAGAAAGCTAATGTTGTTATTCTCTGCAATTTTAAAAATCGGGTTTTTTTAAAAAAAGATTTCTTTATTTGAGAGTGCACATGAGTGGGTGCAGGGAGTGGCAGAGGAGGAGAGAAACTCTAGTAGACTTCTAAACTGTAGATAATTGGCATCCTACTTTATGTAGGATGTATTTCCATTCAACTCTTTTTCTTATTTAATGACAAAAATTGAGGCGCCTGGGTGGCTCAGTCAGTTAAGCATCTGCCTTCAGCTCAGGTCATAATCCTAGGGTCCTAGGATCGAGCCCCGCATCGGGCTTCTTGCTCTGCGGAGAGCCCGCTTCTCCCTCTCCTCCCCACTTGTGCTCGCTCACTGTCTCTCCTCTCTCTCTCAAATAAATAAAATCTTTAAAAAAAAAAAATTGTACCTATTTCTCTGACTGGGTTATGTGAAGTAAAATGTGAAAGTTCCCTCTAAAGCATCTGTTTGACTTGGTGTCTTGGATTTTCATAAAGAAGGGAAAGGGAACACACAGAGGGAGCCAAGTCTTGGAGACACATTATAGCTCTGCAGAAAATGTCTTCGGGGATTTGCTTTGGCACAGATTTTACTCTGCAGTGTTAATTTCCATGGGGCCCCTAGGGTACAAAATTAGGACACTCTTATCTGTGCTGGAGTCTAGAGTGAAGATTTCTTGGTGTGAACCCATCTAAATCACTATGTCCTTTAATATTTAAGCAGTTTTTTGACAACATATAAAAAATTTATCATTGTGCTCGGTGCGGAAAACCTGGATTAAAGGGAGAAAGCTCTGTATGCCTACCACCCAGACAGAACTTTTTGACACTGTATTTATACAGTGTCAATACAATATATATTTAATATTTAACCAATATTATTTTCATTTCTGTTCTTCCTTGATCTAGCCCACAGAACCTGATTGCCCAGTCTCAGTCTGGTACTGGTAAAACAGCTGCCTTCGTCCTGGCCATGCTCAGCCGAGTGGAACCAGCAGAGAGATACCCCCAGGTGAGGGCTAGGGGATCCTGAGGGCCTGGCTTGCCTGCCCTGGGAAAGGCAGTGCCATCTGGTGGGCGGTTAATGAGGGTGCCCCTAAAGGGGTCAGAATGTTTCCTGTGGCTCAGGCAGAGCACTGAGCACTAGGCCACGATCTGGGTAGAATTCATTCGGAAGCAGCGGTCTTAAACAGTGGCTTCCGAAGGCATCCACCCAGCCAGGGCTCGCTGCTAAAGGCAACCTGGGTGGAGAGGATGTGGTTCCCTGCACTTTTGAGTAGTGATTAGATCAGCATATTGTTGCTTTAGGGTCTGTTTAGTACTAAGAGGCTCTCCTAAACTCAACCTTTATGATCTCCCTGTCAGTGTTTGTGCCTCTCCCCAACATATGAGCTGGCTCTTCAAACGGGAAAAGTGATTGAGCAAATGGGCAAATTTCATCCAGAACTAAAGCTTGCTTATGCTGTTCGAGGCAATAAATGTAAGTATAAAGGGGTGAGACCTAAGCAGTGAGCAGGATAGGGTGGTTGGGTGTTTGAATTTTGAAGATGTGATGATGATATTAAACTTTCTGGTTCAGTTGACCTTAGGGCCCACTGCATTACTTTCAGCAAATCTGTTTTAAACTTGCTATTTAACAGTCGTTTCTACTCTTAAAAGAAGATTTTGAGTTGTAAAAATCTTTGCATGGGTCATGGATTTCTTAAAGTCTGGTATTCTTCACTGAGAAAACAGGGTTTTGAATTCAGCATGCAGAGTTCTGGAAGCTGCTTATTCCTAACAAGGGATTAGTAGGTGTGAGGATGGTAGGTTGGAGTCATATCCCTTTGTTTAAAAACAAGCACAGCTTTAGTAAGAGTAAACTAGAAAGACATACAGATAACTTGGTGTCATCAAAACCAGAAATCCTTCCACCAGTTTTTTCTCCCTTTTGTTCTACAGAATGTAATGTAGAGAACATGGATTAAAGTAGAGAGGAGGGGCAGGTAGAAAACAGTTCATTAAAAAAGTTATCACAGTATATAAAACTATAAGTCAGTAAGGAAAAAGTAGGCAGTCTAAATAGGAAAAGAGGCCCAGTTGAACAGACACTTCACAAAAGAAGGGATTCAGATGTCCAGTAAATATGAAGAGATGATAAATAAACCTCATTTGTCATCAGAGAAATCTAAGTTAAAACCACTATATGCCTCACAGGTGGACAGAAATGATGAAGTCTGATAATGTTAAGTATTGATGGAGACGTCCAAGAATGAATGCCCATACACTCCTGCTGGGGGGTATACACTGGTATAGTTACTTTCTGGAAGCAGTTTGGCATTGCTTAGAAAAAGTACGGACAGACCTTCCTTTGACCAGCAGTTTATAACTGCCTGGAGCAGTGATTCTCAAACTTTTGGTTTCTTATACTCTTAAACATTACTGAGGACTCCAACGCGTTTTTGTTTATACAGGTTTTATCTGTTGATATTTGCCATATTAGAAGCTAAAATTAAATTTTTAAAGAACTCACTTTTGAAGAATATGAAGACAATCTGGCCTTTCAAATAATTTTAGATACCCTTTTTGGATGCTACACCAAAACTTACCAAGTGGTAATTACTTAAGAGTTAGTTCCAGTCTGGAAACTGAAATCTTGTTACTGAATTTTTCGTACCGTTACATTAAAATACCTTGGTCTCTTGGAAACTACTGTCTTACTGAGTTACACAGTTCTAAGTGTTGAGACATCTTATCATACAAACTTTTTAAATTGCTTGCCCTAATATTACCACCAAACTCATCAGAGGACTTCATGTACATCAAGAAATTCAAACTTAGTGGCACATACAAGTCTTCCAAAATGCTAATTTTCTCTCGAAAGCTTAAGTGTTATTGTGGCAGCAAATACAGTGGATTGTTTTCATTGAAGAAACAGCCTGTTCATTTTCAAGAAAGTGGATATCAAATTCCCGGCTTCGTTTTCTATAGTTTGTCAGTCCACAGAGAGAAATGGCTCGTTCAGCTCACCACACGATCACAGAGCTTTTCCTGGAGAAAACCATGCTTTGGCATGCAGCAAAACTACCTTATCCAAAAGTTACTAGGTTGATTATGTAATTTGTGTGTTTATTTGATGCCTCACACTGGTGGGTACATCTAAGTGAAGTTACCAGAATCTTGTAACAACATATATCTTCTCTAGATTATTTTGTAATAAATGGGACTTCACTATGTGTGAAGGGTTAATATATTGTACTTACTTTTATACTTATACTTATTTCTTAAAAGTTCAGTTTGGACTTATGGGCAGTGGAAGTTGAGAACTACAGTGTGTTTGAGTTAATTCAAAATTTTTCTAGTGGGTCATTGATGAATTTCTAATGAAAGACCCTTCTCAAATTTTAAATTCTGTTTTTAAAATAGTTAACACATTTGCATGTTTAAATTGAAAGGCCATGTGGTAGAAATTTCTTTCTCCTATACCCCCAACCACCTAGTTCTCCTTCCTACAGGCCCTCAGTACTAACCAGTTTCTCATGTGGCACACCAGAGATATTCTGTGTGGCTCCAGGCACATAGTATGTATAAATATGTTAACATGTGTACACTTACACATGGACATGTGTTACATGTATTCTTTTTTGCCTCTTTTGGTATGCAAACTGCTCTGCAACTTTTTTTCACATTTAATAATGTATTTTGGAGATTGTTCCATATCAGTTCCTAAGCAGTTTTTTACTTTTACTGGCATCATCCATTTGGTGTATCATATTTTGCTTCATTAGTTACCTTTTGATGCTTGCATATCCTTGCATATGTGTTATTTCACACATGTTAATATACACACAGGGTAATTCTTAATCATGGAGTATTGGTCACAGGCTGTGTGCATTAGTAATTTTGATAGATGGTTGTGCCAGGTTCAGCTCCCACCAGCTATAAATCGAGAGTAACATGTTTTTTAAACCAGAGAATTTGTACTTAGAAAAACTGTCTACACATTAGAATGTCTAACAAAGCAAAAACTCATTGGACCAGGATCCTGGGACTCAAAACTACAATTGAAGAAAAATCTGTGAACCGTGAGTGAATGTATGATGTGAAGTGAGTAAGAATGGCACTGAGGAGAGTGAGTGGGATGCTGTTGAATCACAGGAGGAAGCAGGAAGGGGACTTGGTGCTTATTGAGGGTTCACTTCAGAGGATTGAATCCTGACCACGATGCGGTGAGATGGGTGCCACTGTGCCTACTTTACAGTAGAAGAACCCAAGACTTTTGGATAACACTCCTGTGTGTATGTTTTGACATCTGGAATTAACTTGTTTTACTAACTCTGGAAGGACGGGCAAGGCTTTGATTTCCAAAGCTGGTTTTGCCATGGAAATACCCACAGAAAACATCTTGTCTCCACAGTGGAAAGAGGTCAGAAGATCAGTGAACACATTGTCATTGGCACCCCTGGGACTGTTCTGGACTGGTGCGCCAAGCTCAAGTTCATCGACCCCAAGAAGATCAAGGTGTTTGTTCTGGATGAGGCTGACGTGATGATAGCTACTCAGGGCCACCAAGATCAGAGCATCCGCATCCAGAGGTAGGAACTCTTGAGCCAAAAGGAACTTCTCAGCCTCCTGATCTACAGCATCTTTTCCTTTTACTTCAAACACCTCTTCTTGCTCCTGTCAGGTTCTTTACTTTAGTACTTCCGGAAGCATTTGTTCGATGGGCTATTTCCTCATCAGCACTGACCGTGGGTTGAGGAAGGAGACTTAGGGGATCTAACACCAGCCCCATTCCTGCCCCATGGCTGCACTCACCTCCTCCCTGCTGTTCTCCTCCCCCTTTTGCCACTTTCCTGGGCATGTAGACCATGCAAGCCGGGGCGGCTTTCTTCTGTTCCTTCCAGGGAAAAACTCGGGATCATGCCACATACCTGGGTCTTCCCTTGCAGGATGCTGCCCAGGAACTGCCAGATGCTGCTTTTCTCTGCCACCTTTGAAGACTCCGTATGGAAATTTGCCCAGAAAGTGGTCCCAGACCCAAACATTATCAAACTGAAGCGCGAGGAGGAGACATTGGACACCATCAAGCAGTATTACGTCCTGTGCAATAACAGAGATGAGAAGTTCCAGGCCTTGTGTAACCTCTACGGGGCCATCACCATTGCTCAGGCCATGATCTTCTGCCATGTGAGTAGCAGTGGAGGCGGCAGGGCTGCCGGGGTAGGAGCTGCACTGGAGGGGGTTCCTGCCCCTCCTCTCAGCCCGCTCCCGTCAGTGCTGAGGAGGACTAGGTGCCCTGTGTGGCCAGAAAGGAATGGTTTGTGAAGATGCAACATAGTTTCATCTTAGTATCCTGAGGTATAAGTGGCTTCAAAATCGAGTAGTATCCTGAGGTATAAGTGGCTTCAAAATCGAGTCCCTAGGGGTGCCTGGCTGGCTTAGTAGAGCATGCACGTCTTGATCTTGGGATCCTGAGTTTAAGCCCCACATTAGATCTAGAGCTTACTTAAAAAAAAAAAAAAATAGGGACACCTGGGTGGCTCAGTTGGTTGGGCAACTGCCTTCGGCTCAGGTCATGATCCTGGGGTCCTGGGATCGAGCCCCACATCGGACTCCTTGCTCCTTGGGGAGCCTGCCTCTCCCTCTGCCTGCCGCTTCCCCTGGTAATGCTCTCTCTCTCGCTCGCTCTCTCTCTCTCAAATAAATAAAACTTAAAAAAAAATACCCTCTTCATATACCTTCATTTCTCAAATGTTTCCTTCTCTCCAGACCCGCAAAACAGCGAGCTGGCTGGCAGCAGAGCTCTCAAAAGAAGGCCACCAGGTGGCCCTGCTGAGTGGCGAAATGATGGTGGAGCAGAGGGCTGCGGTGATCGAGCGCTTCCGAGAGGGCAAAGAGAAGGTGCTGGTGACCACCAACGTGTGTGCCCGCGGTGAGCAGGGAATGCGTCTGTCCGCCAGGCCCCGGGTCGCCAGGGAAGTCGTCCTGTACGGGGCACTCTGCTGGTTTGAGGGAGTCCACGTGGGGTTGGTGCTGGAGAGACTGGATTCCCCCGGCAGATAAGAACCGTCACAGAAGCCAGGGGCCCCGATGCTGGAAGGCCACGCACCAGCATCTCACTGGTTCAGGACGGTGCTTGCCCTCTCTGGGGCCCCCACTGAGGTTCTGGCTGCATCTCCAGGTACTGGTGTCTAGCAGAGGCTCGCTCACTGGCGGTGTAATTTTGTTAGCACCTGCCCAAGTTCTCTTTTTCCCTCTGGGTTCCGCTGCGTGCCCCCATCCCCGAATCCCACAGCCGGCCTGCCCCAGACTCTTCCTTCCACCTGAAGCTGGTGCGTGTCGGCCTCGCTTGGTTGGCGGTGGTTTTCGTCTCCCGTCCTGACTCCTCTCCACCTGTCTTTCATGCAGGTATTGATGTCGAACAGGTTTCTGTCGTCATCAACTTTGACCTCCCCGTGGACAAGGATGGGAACCCGGACAACGAGACCTACCTGCACCGGATCGGGCGCACGGGCCGCTTTGGCAAGAGGGGCCTGGCAGTGAACATGGTTGACAGCAAGCACAGCATGAACATCCTCAACAGAATCCAGGAGCATTTTAGTGAGTGGTTGGGAGTGGCCCCCGCCAGGGCCCTTTCCTTACAGGGGAAGTCCAAGGGAGGGGAGGAAAGGGGGTTCTCCCGTGGCCCCGAGAGAAGCCTGTGTCCCTGTTAACAGTCCCCTCCTTTCCTACAGTATGGAAGTCTCAGAGCACACCTGGCGAGTTTTCAGGGCCAGGGACTCGAATGACAGTGCCCCCCTGGCCAGGCTGAAGGGCCTAGGGCTCTGTCCCTTGCTCAGGCACCGGGAGTCTTTGGGGTCAAGGGAAAGATGGCTGTGGCCAGAGGCATGGCCCCGTTCCTAGGCTGGGCAGAACCGTGTGTGTTTCCCCTCTCCCTGCCGTGCTCTCCCTTCCCTAGGTGTGTGTCTCCATGGGAGCCCCACGTTGATTTCTCTCTGAATTCTCATTTTTCTCCCCAGATAAGAAAATAGAAAGATTGGACACGGATGATTTGGACGAGATTGAGAAGATCGCCAACTGAGACGCTCCACCAGTCGCCAGTGCCCACCCCCGGCACTCCGCCTGCACGGGAGACCGGTGCTTTCACGGCACAGGCCTCGACAGTCACCACAAAGACAAAGGCAGAGGAGAGAGAAACTACCTACCTCATTTTAAATTACGTTTGGACTAGACAAAAATTGTGCAACTGATGGGGGAAGGTAGAAGGAAAATTTTGCATTTCGGAAAATGTAGTCCTCCCCCTGCCACCCCCCCCTTAAGCCATGGTTTTTCCCCATCTTTATAATAATCTGGTCGCTATGGATAATCGCTGAGCCTAGGATCCCCTGCTTGTTTTGTTGCTGGGGTGATAGGACCAACCCCCACCCCTGCAGAAATGGTAGATGTAGAGCGTGGGAGAGGCTTCACAGCACAGGCGTGTGAGCCCCACTGCACGGATGGAATGTGGGGAGCAGCGGCAGAGAGACCCTTGAGCTCTCCCCCTTCTCAGTCCCTGACTGGAGACCTGCCACCAATGTCTCCTGCCCTTGGGGCCCTCTTCCTTCTCCTGAATCCAGAGATGTTCCCGCTGATCCCTTTTACCTCTGTTCTCTGTGCCAGAGGATGTCCCTGTTTCTGGGTGAGCATCTTGGGTACTTTTGTAAACCTCCGATTTAGAGAGAAACACGGAAGTCAGTGCATCTTCAGAGAGATTGGTCTGGCAAGGGTAGATGAATCCTTTGAGAATCTGGGCCTTTCTCTTCCTGCAGTTCTGTGTTTGCTCAGGCACTGGGAGTCAGTCATGGCGGCCAGGAGACACTGGGTGAGTTTCTGACACACACCTGGCCACGTGAGTTGATTCTTGTCCATGGGGTGTCACACTGTGCCTGGAGGCAATCAGCAGAGTTTGGAAAGGAAGTTATGACCAAGTGAAAACTCTGATAGTGCTCTTTATCTGTAATAGTGGACCTGTTGGTTACCTTAATTCAGAGGTCATCTGTATGAATAAGGACAGATAAATTTGAGCTATACCCATCATTCATTATGTTCAGAAATCTTAAAGTAATTATGAAAGGCTTTACTAATCATGATTCATTTTTATTTGTATTTTTCTGCTAATTAGACTAATATATGCTCATTAAAAAGGTGTGTGTGTATGTATATATACATATATAAGGTGCAAGTGCTCTCTATCCCCACCTCTGTGGAATCACCATTAGCATTTTGGTGAACATTTGATATATTTCCTTCTGTTTACATACCCACTTTTTTACAAAAACGGGAACATCCTATTCAGGCTTTTGTGCACCCTGCCTCTTAGCAGCGTATCTTGGACATGTGACATGTCCTGCACACAGGCCCACCTCACTCTTGGCAATGGCATTGCTCTAGCATTAGCTGCCCCAGCGTTTAGTTCATGGCCCCTCTAGTGACAGGCACAGGAGGTGGGCATGGTGCCACAGCGTGCAGCCGCACTCACCTCTGCCCTGTGAAAGTCGCTGTAGGATCTATTCCTGGAAGTACAGGTGCTGGGTCAGAGAGTGGAGACCTTTATGATTTTAATCCGTTCCCAATTTACCCTGCCAAAAAGTTTTTACCAATTTACATTATTGTAGTGATATGAAAATACCTATTTTCTTTCCTACTTGCCAATCCTCTATATTATCAATTTTTTACAAATTTGCCAGTTTGAGTAGCAAAAATAAATGGCATAATTGCATTTTGTCTTTAGTGAGCTTTGGCAAAGTTTCAGTTTATTGGATATTTGTATTTTGTCTTTTGGGGTGCTGCCCATTCTTGCCTCATCATTTTACTATTGGATTGCCAGTCCGTAATGATTTTAAGCCACTGCTATTTTAAGGAAATTAGACTTTATCTTAAGTGGCGGATGTTTTCCTAGTTTGTCTTTACAAACTCATTTTTCATAACATTACACGAAAGTTTAATTTTAATGTTACTTGGATTTCATTTTTAAGAAATCTGGATTTATGTCATGGCTAGAAAAGTTTTCCTCATCCCGGTGTCATAAACCCCAATTTATCCTGTACTCATTCCAGTATTATAAATTACTTATTCATGTTTCCTATAGTGGCAATTCTTGGGGAGTAAATTATCTAAATTCTTCTAGATCTTTAAATGTTTTTCCCTGCTTATTTGCTGCAAGTGATTATTATGGTTGTGTCAAGAGTGAGTGGGTGGCAGAGCTGTGGGTGTGGGCTGGAATCCATGCCCCCCAGGGAGTGAGAATACAAAGGATCCATTGGGAACCGATGTGAGTGAATGAAAGGCTGGGTGTCCCCATAGGTGTGGCCAGGTGCAAGAGAGTGCCTGCAAGTGTGTGAGGGGTGGATGCAAGCTCAAGGTGGGAGAGGGGTTTGGAGAAGAAAGGTGGGCAAGAAGGGGAGCCAGATTGCAGAGAGATGGGGGACAAGAAGAGGGGAGAAGAAGTACTCAAGGAAGACAGGGCAAGGGGAGGAGATGGAGGAGGCCAGGTGGGGCACCAGCGTTCCAGTTAAGTGATACCCACTTTGAGCCCAAAACAACAGTGATACAGAAAAGGTAAAAACCAGAAAACACCCCGCCTGACCCAAAAACAAGGTGAATGTTTCTGTGGACCAGCAATGGGGTAAAAATGCCAAGTGCTGAGGCAGAGCTGAAGCCAAAAGCTTGCTGGGCTCTGGTCCAGAAACAGAATAGCTACCGGCTGTTGGGTCCTGTGGAGTAGAGGACACTGGAAGCACCGCATACAAGACTGGAACCAAAGCCAGGCGCGCTGCTGGGAGGGAGCCGGACTGGAACTTGACCTGCACACTGGCTGGCTGGGAGACTTTTATTAAGACCCAGACCCATGAAGGCAGTGGAAGGACTTGGACCACCCACCCCCTCTTAGAACAGGCAGTTGACACAATCCTGTTGACTCTGCTTGTTCTGTGATATCCCCAGATTACCGAATGTCAGCAGACCTGGTTCTAGAATAAAAGTCAAAAGGGCAGGAGCTGGATGGAGCCAACTGCTAAGCCCACCTGTGGATTGTCAGGGGGAAGAAATCTATGCTAAGAAAGAGTGCAAACAAGATCAAATTCACCCCAGATAAAACTACTTTTATGGAATGGCCTGATAAAAGGCGTTAAGTATGTTTGAATGTTTAAAGAAAAAAAATGCATTTCACTAGAAAAGAGCACGAAACTATTGAGTAGATTTAGACAAAAGCAGTGGCGTGCTGAAACTCCACACAAGCTGGCTGCTAAGTCACCGGTGCTGGGACGGTTTACCACCGAAGCCAGCAAACTACCTATCAGGGTTCTGTTTTTAGACAATTCACCAGCATCAAACAAATAAAACAATAAACATGATTAGAAATTTTAGAAAAGAGGAAGGTAGTCATTGACATAGTCAAATGGGAATCCTAGATTAAAATCCTAATTAGGGGCACCTGGGTGGTTCAGTTGGTTAAGCATCTGCCTTCAGCTCAGGTCATGATCCTGGGGTCCTGGGATCGAGCCCCACGTCGGGCTCTCTGCTCAGTGGGGAGTCTGCTTCTCTCTCTGCTGCTCCCCCCACTTGTGCTCTCTTGTTCGCTCTCTCTCTCTCTGAAAATCTTTTTAAAAATGGAATAAAATAAAATCCTAATTATACTCTTGAGGGTGCCTGGCTGGCTCAGTCAGTGGACTACACGACTCTCGGTCTCAGGATCACGAGTTCAAGCCCCATGTTGGGTGTAGAGATTACTTAAATATAAAATCTTAAATAAATCCTTATTATATTCTCATTTTAAGGACAAGAATAAAAATCCAAATTTCAGTAGATTCATATAATAAATATTTCTTAGGGCACCTGGGTGGCTCAGTCAGTTGAGCATCCAACTTTTGATCTCAACTCAGGTCTTGATCTCACAGTTGTGAGTTCGAGCCCTGAGTTGGGCTCCACGCTGAGTGTGGAGCTTAAAAAAAACAACCACCTATTTCTTGCTTTAAAGTCTAACACGGAAGTCTAAAGGAAGACCACAGGGGCGCCTGAGTTCGAGCCCCATGTTGGATGTAGGGATTACTTAAAATTCTTAAAAAATAAATCAGGGCACCTGGGTGACGCCGTCTTTCGGGCGTCCAACTCTTGGTTTTGACTCAGGTCGTGATCTTAGTGTCCTGGATGGAGCCCTTCATCTAGCCCCGTATCCCGTCGGGCTCCAGGCTCTGCGGGGAGTCTGAGGATATCTCTCCCTCCCTCTCTCTGCCTCCCTTCTCTTTCAAATAAATAAATAAAGACAACAGAGATAAATTTTCATTTTCATCACATCATACCAAAGGCACATATAATCAACATGACATCAGTCGTGACCTGGCAGGAGGTAGTGTTTGTCAGGTTTTTCCACTATAAAATTACCTTCTCCCTTTCCATACCTTCCTCTTTGAAAGGAAGTCATTATACACATCTAAGTTGTGGGGGGCCATGCTCCCCACTCCTTGAGGGCAGAGTAATTACATAAATTATTTGGAATTCTTCTATGTGGGAGATTTGTCTCTTTCCCATTTATTAGTTTATCCAATCATGTATTTATAGAAGTATACACTGGTGATGTTAATTTTGATCACTTGGTTAAGGTGACTTTGATAAAAAAAAAAAAGTTTTTAAGTATGCTCAAGTGTTAGTTTAGTCATCCTTCATAGCAAAGAAAGCTGAGAACTTCCCTCGAATGGTCTTCAGTGTGGTGGTTCATGGAAACAGGTTTCACAGGAAGAGCTGTGGAGACAAAGCCTGGGAGACAAGAAAAGTGGTCCAAAGGGGGCAGGGTTCCTTCTATGATTCCCTTTACCCATTTTATGACAAGTTATAAATACAAATGAGATATTGCAGGAAGACCTTCCATGTTGTACTTTATATATTTATGAATTGTTTGAATTATTTTTGTAATGAATATTATTTTTTAATGTTAAAAAAAGAGACAAAGTTAGCAGAGTATAGCAAAGAGAGGATTAAACCCAGATCCCTCTGAATGTAGACACCATATGTTCGCTCTACCTCACCAAGCCTTCTCCCTGGAGAGAAGCCAAACTGCCAGAAAGAGCCTGTATTATTCTCCAGAAAAGAAACAGTTGTTAGATGAAAGGTGTTAATTCTATATTCTTAGAGGAACAGGCTGGTCCTGATACCCATGGTTCAGCAAGAGTGAGGCGAGGGGGCATCTTCTTGCAATTTTGTGGGTTAACTGTCATCAGGGCATAGACTTGCTGCAGAAGCTGTGATTTTTCTGGAAGGGTAGTGAGAAGGGGATTTTAATTTTTAGGGCGGCTGGGTGGCTCAGTTGGTTAGGCGACTGCCTTCGGCTCAGGTCATGATCCTGGAGTCCCTGGATCGAGTCCCGCATCGGGCTCCCTGCTCGGCGGGGAGTCTGCTTCTCTCTCTGACCCTCCCCCCTCTCGTGCTCTCTCTCTCATTCTCTCTCTCTCTCAAATAAATAAAAAAAATCTTAAAAAAAAGAATTTTTAATTTTTAAAAATACAGGTTTAGGATCTGATCTTTTCCCTCACCTGGCAAGGAAAGATGTTTCCTAACCTGGCCAAATATGTCACAGGAAGCAGCTCCTTGCTTGCTGAATGGCAGCCTACAGCTGTTCCTGTGATGGGAAAAACCTTTAATCCCTTCCTTCCCTTCCCCAGCATCCATCCACCCCTGCGCAGGCGGTAAATCCAAGCACTTCTCTCCAATGAGCCCTCTATGTCATAGACTGTATTACTGCTCATCCAAATATGGTGCTTCACCCAGAAGAGGGTTACACATCTCTGCTAAACTCAGGCATGGCCATGGGACTTCTTTGGCATCAAGGACATTTGAACTTCTTGAAAGAGAAGCCTTAAGAGCCAGTATGTGGTTCACCAGATTCTGTTTTCCCTGCCCCTGAGACCCCAGATCCATCACGGATGGTACCACTACCAGTCTGGGTCCTTGAGTGACCACGATAAGCAGAGAGCCCTGGGGTGGAAATGTGGTTTGAGTGAGAAATAAACATTGCTGTTTGGAGCCACGAGTTTCAGGGTGTTTGTTACTGTAACATAACCTAGCTCATCCTTACCCCTCCATGCCATGGAATGGCTGGTTCCCTGTCCAGCCACCCTAATGCCAACCCGAATAGCAGGTAAACCCCATCCATGTACACAAAGTTCCCAAGCAGTTTCTTGATCCACTATTTCAGAAGAGAAAACAATCTTCAATTCCCAATTATTTAAAAAGCCAGAGAGTTGTTCAATAAGCAACCACAATAAACCTACTCTGTGGAGACAAAGGGAAATCAAGGAAGGAAAAGGGGTCTACTAAGTACATGAGTAAACATCACACATACCAAACTTTCCTTCCCACAACCCCTGTAACCTACAAGGAAGAAATGAAAAAGGGATCAACTCCCATGGACAAATGGGGGCAATTAATCAGTAGAAAAGGAATTTAACAAAATGTTTGGAACTACAAACAGGATGAAAAAGCTCCCATTTTTAGCAATACAGGGTACTATATAGAGCATGAAAAAAAATCCCAATCCAAAAACCAGCTACAAAGCTGAGATATATATACATATTTTTATATATAATCTGTTTGAATATATCAAAGAGCTACCACTTTTAGGGTTTTATTTTTTACATTTAGTTCAGATTCACTTGGCATTTTGGTGAATGGTTTAAGGTAGGGATGTAATTTTATCTTTTTCCAAATGGTTATCTAGTTGTCCCAATAAAATTTATTTAAACCTCCCTCTTTTCCTAAGTGATTCGAGAGATTATCTTTATTGTTAACCACATTTCCATATGGACTCAGGTCTAGGCAACCAGGCTAATGAAACAGAGTAGAGTATCCAGAAATACTCAAGTGACCATGGGAACATCAGGGTAGTGGTCACCCTCAGAGGAAGGAAGGGGTTTGTGCTTGGAAGGGAAGATGGGGTCTGGACTATTCCCACAGCTTGGGTGGCAGCTAGGAGCATTCATTGGAACATAACTGGGTTAAGGAGCTCCACAGTTTTCCATACTGGCTGCACCCATTGACATTCCCACCAAGAGCATTTCCTTTCCTCCTCATCCTTACCAGCACTTCTCTCTCATTGTTTGTTTTTTTTTTTTTCAGATTTATTTATTTATTTTGGGGGCAGGGCAG